TAGCTTCTGGAGAAGATATCAGAGTGATTTCCAATATGGCCATGCCATTTTATACAGTATTCCTACCAACAGTATTTGAAGGTTCCCATTTTCTCATCAACATATTACTGTCTGTATTTCTGGCTACAGATCTAAAGGGTATGAGGTGGCATCTCACTTTGGTTTTGATTTCTACTTCCTTGATGCTAATGGTATCTTTTCAAACATGTTTTGGTCAGTTGATCATATTTTCTGGAGGAATGTCCATTTAAACCCTCCTTATTTTAATTGAATTATTTGGGTTTTTTAATTACTGGGTTGAAAAGGTTTTTCATATATTCTAGGCAGATGGTCTTTTATCAGACATATGATTTGCCAATATTTTCTTCCTTTCTCTGTGTTTTTTTCACTTGTTCTATGGTGGCCTTCAAAATGCAAATTTGAATTTTTTTTATTTAAAGAAAGACTAAACAAGACAGTAAACAGATAGATATAATACATACTTTCAAAGAAAAAAATAAACTAATAAACCTCTAGTTGATGTTTACACATTGTCCTCTTACAAATAATTGTTTAAGATACAAAAGTGGAACATATAAGTGGGAATTCAAACAGCGAGATTGCAAATAGTTCTATTCAACTATCCAACAAAAACTTAGTAATATGGTTATCTATCCTATACACTTAAACATATATGCAGTTATCCGTATTTTCATTTATATTGAGATTAAACAAACCAAACCAAACTAAAATCACTCTGGACAAGAGTAATAGTATTGCTGGATTTCACATCATGACACTCCGGGATCAGCACTGGGTACTGTAGTGTCTTTCTTCTTTCAAAGCATTTGTTCATTTCATCATGTGTCATAAGATCAGTTCTTGTAAACTGTTCATAGCATCTACGCATGCATGAGTCTTAACATGGATTTCTATGCTTTCTATATTAGAAGGGGAAACAAAACAAAGTAGGACAGAACAGAACATATCCCTATAGATACATAAAACTAAAAACATGTAAAACCACTGTACAAGGAGTTCTACCATGGTTTCTGTGTTATGTGGTTATCTTCAACAGAATTGGCTATATCATCTGATATAGTATAATTGAATATATCAGTATATAACAATATTGATAGAAACACAACTTTGTAGATAGTGTTAAATTGCAAAAACAGGTAGTAATCAAACCAAAATGGGTATCGTAGTGAACCTTGTCGTTTTCAGTATAGTTATCTATACTCTCAGACTTGATACTATCAATTATAACAGTTTTGAATAAAATCTGTCGATAACACACAGCAATCAAACAAACCAGATTTAACTAAGATCAGTCATGATATAACAGTGTAAGTCATACAGGGCTCCAGATTAAGTTAATAGGAAATTAAAGATGATTAGCGTGCTATATCCTGACATTTTTGGGATGTCTGTCTGTGCCCTCAGATCTAGTGCTTGTAGAAAAACTGGGACAGAATAAGTTCTATCTAAGCAGAGCAGTGCGAGTAATATGGGTTTTGATTCCTGATACATTATTAATAATATCTTCTGCTGTCATTTTTAAGACTATTTCTCCCCTTGTACTCCCCCCCCCCCGGGAATACTGTGCATTTTGGGGACTCACCAACACCCTCGGTTTTAAATTGGGGGGGCAACCTGCTATTTACCTAGGTGGTTCTGAATCTTCTCCCTCCTGGACTTGATCTCTAATTGTATTCCTTTACCTATTAAAGCCTGTCTTTCCTACCTATCCTCAATTACTAGTCTAGTTGCCCCTATTACTCTCTGGTTCCCTGTCACACAGAGCATTGTTTTCTTATTTGATTTTCAGTCCATAAGCCCTTTTGCAGGTTCATTATATTTCCTATAAAGAGCATCTTGGTGGACCCTACCTCCTGATCTACTCTGTGATTCTCTCTCTTTTCTTAAATTTAGTGTATCAAGGCCATTTATATTAGAGATTATAGCCAATCTTCTCTGCCTCATTTCTGTTGTGCTCTTTTTCCGTCATTAGTTGTCTGTTTGTCTTCCTCATTTCGCTTTCTGCTCCATTCATTGAGGCCTCTCTGCCAGTTTTCCTGGAATCCTGGTGCCTTTCTTTCTCTTTAGAATGCCCTGAAGTATTCTCTGTAGAGTTGGATTGGTGGTCGTGAAGTCCCCCAGTTCTTCTTTGTCTTGAAAGCATCTTGTTTCTCCATTAATTTCTAGAGATAATTTTTCAGGGTTCATCAATCTGGGCTGGAGGCTATTTTCTTTCAGGGCTTGGAATACTTCACTCCAGGCTTATCTTGATTTGATGGTTTGTGTCAAGAAGTCTGCCATTACTCTGATGGGCTTTCCCTTGTAAGTAATCTGTTTCTTGTTTCTGACAGCTTTTAATATTCTGTTTTCATACTGGATTTCTGGGATCTTGATTACTATACGCCTGGGTGTAGATCTATTTTGGTTGTAGGTGGCTGGAGTTCTTCCTTTTCCTATGTTTGGGAAGTTTTCCTTCATTATTTCTGTGAATAGCCTTTGTAGTTCCTTTGTTTATATCCCTGCTTCTTCATTCACATTTTTTATTCTTAAGTTATAGATCTTCTTGTTGTCTTCCAGCCTTTGTATTGTTACTGCTTGTTTTCTTGTTATTTTTAAGAAACTTTTCCTTTCCTGATCCCACATTGCAAACCTGTCCTCCAGTTTGGATAATCTAAGCTTGTTTCTTTCAAGCAGTTTTGCCAGCTTTCAATGGAATTTTAAATTTCCTGATAATCTCTTTGAACCTGTTTCATGTACTCTATGTTTTCTTTATATTGTTCATCAAACAATTCTCCCCTTTTGTTGTGTTCCTCCATTCTTCCATGTGTGTCTTCTTGAGAGATGCTTAGCATTTCTTTTATTAATCTATTTATATTTTGCTTTACATGGTTAAATATTTCACTTTTGAACTCGTCTATGAGGTCCCAAATATATCTCTTTATGTCCACTGGTGCCATCCCTGATATTGCATGTTTGCTGTCCTCAATCTCTTTTGTATTTACCTTTCCTGGATCAATGTTCTCAGGGTTGGGGCCAGGGACATTTTCTTGTTGCTTCTTCTCATATTGTTTGTTTCTTCCATACAGGTGTATATACAAGACCCCAGTTTTTTTCTTTGTTGGTTATGATTCTTCCGAAGTGCACTGGCTAGACAGTCCTGCCCACTGCAGTGTGCTATTGAGGTGCAAACAGGAGCAGCGTATGCTGGCCCCTGCCCTCCAGGCCAGTCAACCTGCTGAGGCCTTCGCTGTATTAGGGTGCACCACCGGGCATAGGGACTTGGTGTGGGATAACCTATTGAGTCTCAGCCTGGGGTGTGACCCAGGCCAAGCACACTCCACCAATCCCGTTTGAGAAGGGAACAATTGACAGAAGTCACTGATGTTCCTTGTTCTTTTTTTTTTTTTTTTTTTTTTTTCTGCTCCTTGTTCTTGCCAGTCTGCCCGGTCCCAGAATGTTGTTCATTGGAGCCCCTTTTTCTGGGGATTAGTTTTATTCCCATCACTCAACCCAGGTCAATGCAGGTTCCCTGCTAGCTCAGCTCTCCACTCGGCTCACCGACCCCCAACCTCAATGTGACTGCGTTTCCAGTGAGTCAAAGTGGCGGGATTTCGGGCGGCTCTGTAAGTCGCAGTTGTACAAGTTCAAGCACTGCAGCGGGGGCACCAAGCCTTTAGCTGTTCCCAATAGTAGCACTGGGATTGTATGATTTGATTTGTTTGATTTGTTCTTCCCGTTTTAGTTTCTTTCTGGATCGAGAATATTCATCTTCCTCTGTTCGGGACTCCCCACACTGTCTTATTTTGAAATCTAAGTTGACCATCTCAGGGAGCCTCTGTGGCCTGCTGTTATCTTCCGGCCATCTTTACCAGAACCCCCGCAAATTTGAATTTTGATAGTGTCCCACATAGTTATTTTTCCCTCGTGTTGATTATTTTTTATGTTAGGTGCCAACTTTTTGCACCCCCTTAGATGTTGTGTCCCCACAGAAGGCCTATCCGATCTACCAGACTATTTTGTGTTCTTACTTCTCAAATCCAGAGCTCTCTCCTCATCTACTCTCAGCAGTGGTTCCCCTGGGACCTTCCATAAGTTAGGCCAGTACTCATCGCTGGAAAAACCTCCCTCCCTTTTGAAAATTTTATTTTGAGGCAGAATCTCACTGAGTTGCCCAGGTTGGGCTCGAACTTTTGACCCTCCCATCTCAGCCTCTCAAGCAGCAGGAATCACAGGCATGTACCACGTGTCCAGCTCTCCCTGCAAGTTCCTAAACATACCAAGTTCATGGCCACCTCGGGGCCTCTCTCGAGGTGCTCCCCATCTGCTCTGCTTTCCTCTCAAAGACCTGTTTGGCTAGTTGCCTCGACTACTTGGTGTCTTTGCTTAGCTCTCACGTTGCAGTCCAGCCTGCCCTGAACTCCAGCTTAACTGTAACTGTGGGCCTAGTCACCGATGGCTGCTTTCAGGTGTGGTCTTCCATAGCAAGTTTCAACCTTCCCCCACACTTTACGTCTTCATTATTTACCAGTGAGTTATTTTAGAAACCCTACGAGGACATGAGCTCCACAGGAGGTTTCTGCCGCTTGACCCTGTGAGCTTTGCTGAGGACCTAGAGCTGTGCTTTGCAGCTTTCTGGTAGGTATCTGCTGAAATGGGTGACTGGTGATGACTGCTAAGGAGGATGGACGTCTACAAGGGGTCACTGGTCCTCACCTTCTCTTCCATCCTTTTCCTCTCTACACAAAGCTTTTTCTCCACTGGTTTGGAGACTCTCGATTCTCTTGGAGCTGTCTCTTTGCTAGAGTCCTCATCACCTGATTTAAGGGGCTGGGTAACCAGCATGGCACAGGATGGGCACAGAGAATCCGGTGCGTCTGTGGAGACGAGAGGTCACAAGTGCTCTGCCAAGGTCTCTGGTCACTACCAGTGCACATTTAAGGTTGGAAGGGAACAAAGGAAACATCTCTGAAAATGGGGTGGGGGAGGAATCCCTGACTCACCCTGGCAAGCAGTCCCCACAGACGGCATCGCCGGTCACCGAGCAGTTGGCCTTCTGGAAGCGGTTCAGCAGCACGCAGTCCAGGCACGGCTTGCACTTCTGGAAGCCCCAGTCCTCCTTGAACCGGTGTGGCCGGCACGTCACACACTGTGCATCCTCCCCATAGCCGAAGCCACATTCCTGCGGGGATTAATGGGTGACAGAAAGCTATTCAGACTTCACAAGCGTGAAAAAAGCAAAGGCTGCCGGGATACGGTGAAGACCCGGTCCAATAATGCCCCAATGTCGCCCTTCCTCCACACAAAGAAGGCTTTTTCAGCAAGTTCAAATGTGTCTTCCACTGCTAATAGTCTCTCTTACTGTGGGAAGGATGCTCAGTCATGCACTTTATTCAAGAAGCCGTGAGCGCGTGAATAAGAAAGGCCTCCCGGACTCCCACCGCGGCACTATTGCTAGCTTAGGCAGAATTATGGCGCTTTCTTCTTTTCTAATTAAGGCAGTCATGTGAATGTTTAGAATCTGAAGCAACATTCAGACACTCATTCACTGATCAAGGCGGAAAACAGATCCAGGGACCGTGAGGGTGGTACGGTGGAGGGGGAGGGTAGCTGCACAAGAGACCCGTAAGCTTGCAGAATAGAGAGCTCCTCGCGATGGTGGAGGGTCTCTGCATGTTCTGAAAGCAAACAGACTTTTACGTATTTGTTAAAAGGATGCTAAACTCTTATTCAGACACAACTCTGGTGCTGATGTTCTCAGGTATCTCCAGATGTGAACGGGGAAACACAGTGTGCTTTTCGAGGACAAGAGCAGGACTGGAAGATGACCATCTCCATGGGCTCAAGGACAGGAAATGCTTCCAGCAGGGTTTATAGTTAGTCCTAAAAATGGTGCCATGTGTTTACGATCGCTTAAAAATAAGTTATAACAGAGTTCGAAGCATGGTCCTCCTGGTTAAAAATACATTAATAATCCTATTCCGCTGTTTTTAGAGCAATCGTTTCCTTAAGAAAGCCACTTCTTCATAGCTGCCCTGTTTGGAGTGTGTACACTCTGTAACATTTTCAGTGTGCTAATCCAATTTTCCTAATACTCTGGTTACTAGGTTGTGAAAGACTGAATATTAGAGTATGTACTATACATGGCACTGAATTATGAATTGGTGGGATTCATGTCAGTGCTTACCACTACTTGAAAACACTGGTTTTTCATTATCTCTTAAGGAAAACTTGCTTCCCAATTTGAAAGCTAGAAAGTCAGTGGAACTGTTTAAAAAAAGAATCTAAAAATAATTTTTAAGTGTTCAGCGTGTACTTTAAAAGCTGTGTGCAAACTGAAGTATCTGTGTATGGATTCTCATTACAACAAATAAAATCTCAGTTATGGAGGCTGAGGATGTAGCTCAGTGCCAGAGAACTTGCCTAGCACCTGAGAGGCCCTGATGTCAATACTTCAAACCCTGAAACCAAACCAAACAAACAAAATCTCAATGATGAAAACGATATCCTAACTTTAGCAGGTGTCAGCTACATGTCAAGAAATTTATACACACGATCTCAATAACCTATACTCCTTGATGAGGGAAACATTCACTATTCCCATCGCAGTTATGGGGGATGGAGCTTTGGAGAAGCTTTGTGCCCAGACTTTGTAACTACTGCCCTAAAGTATCTGCCAGGCACTCACACACACATTATGTATACCTAGGAAGATGTCTACAAGATGCCTACTCCTAACACTGGTTATCTGTGCTCTGTGTTGGTCATGAGTAGAAACAGACCTAAGTCTAAGAGCTACAAGAAGAGCACCAGCAAATCCACAAATACAGGCTAGATGGGGCACAGGAAGCAGGACTTGTATGAAATCTACTAGGGCCTCTGTATTTTCGCCCTACATGCTAGAATGCAAGTCTTGGCCAGTTCAAAATTCCCATTTTTCTGTAAAATTTATGTGCTTTAATTTCTTCATTCCATATTTGCATTCCAAATCAACAGAGCAGGCCTTACTGGTGAGAAATTAAATTGAACCGACATGAAGGGAAGGACTGCCTGTACTCAGTAAACTGCTCAATATAGGATACTGCGTAACTGCGTCACCTAGGGATCTTACTAATTAACTCATCCACATAGTGGATCAGGGATGTCTTCTCCCTCCTCAGTTATCCCACCTGTCTTTCAAAGGCACATTTTGAACAAGCCTCACAAAGCTTCAAGGAGAAAAAATGCACAAGGTCACCACCCTCTCAATCCTGAGCGCGCCAGCTACACAATGTTCCAAGTCAAAGAATGAATTCATGAACGGGTATTTCTTTAAAACAGTTAACAGAGATGACCTCTTGGCTGTTAGTGGAATTGTGAGGTGTTTTTCATTCTTTTTTAAAATTCTGTAATATATTTAAGTCTTGCAACAAGCATCCAATACTTACGTAAATCAAGAAAGCAGTAAGACCCATATTCTAGAAGACCTTCTGGGACCAGTGCTCGGTGTCTGTGGGGAGGTGGTGTGTGGTCATTGTGGGTGCAAAGGGACAGATGTGCGCTTTGCCCTGTGAGCACGCAGGGCCTTTCTGCACACGGGCTCCTGGGATCAGAGTGCAGGCACAACACGCAGGCGTGGGCCCAGCACTGCTCCCGCGCTAAGCACCCTCATCAAAGGCTCGGCAGCATTAGAGAGTTTCAGAATCTAGCTTTGATCCAGACAGCCTGGACTGGAAGAGACTCATGTACAAGTTGCAACACAGTAAAGGAAGAAAGGAGAAAAAGAAGTAGAAGATGGAAAAACAAAGAGAAAGGGAGAAGGGAAAACAAAGGGCGTAAACTGGAAATAAGCAAGGTTTGAATTCTTCTCAAGCTAGGCTAATGTGTGTGTGTGTGTGTGTGTGTGTGCCTACATTGGATCCAAAGGCGTGTGAGTCTGCACACTCACTAGGCCACTGCTCGCCAAGCTGTTTTGGGAACTCTCAGACTCAGTCTTTTCATCTGTGAGGTGGGCGGAACAACAGTGCCTGCCCTCTGGGGTTGTTTTGAAGAATAAACGGGTAAACATATAAACTTTTAACTCAAGCACAGAGTGGGCACTCATTAAATAAATTAGACCTATAATTGTTACTATTTTGGACTTTCTACAAACTAATAAACAAACTTTCCTGATTCAAGGAGGCTTCCTTTGGGAACGTGGGGCTCTTCCAACTTCAGCTTTTTCTAGGCAGCTTGCTGAAAACACACCAGTGTCCAGCTAAAATATTTTCTTTGAGTAAGAAGCACTCTAAGATGAACGCAGTGTTTTAATGAAAAAGCGGCTTCATTGGCACACACAGCATCACTGAACTCAACCTCAGAGTCACCTGCTACATCGGGCTGTCACACAAAGGCCACAGGACCCCACGTCCACACAGGCAGCGGTCCACACTAGACTCCACAGGGAGCCCACACTGGCTCCTGGCTCCGGCTGAGTCCCTCAGCTCCAGCAGTCCACCTCCGCCCTCCATGCGGAAGCCAGGAGCCATCCAACTGGACATGAGCCGGCAAGAAGTATTAACAGGACTTTGATGGCTTCCTTTCTTTGATCCAGCAGACACTAACTTATAATAAGTACCAAAGGTTTGCTGGTCTTTCTTTTGAAAACAGAAACAAAAACAAAAAACCCCCAGCTTAGGGGAGGGAGGTTCTGTGCCTACTTTGTGATTCCTGCCTGCGTCCTGGAGTTTGTACTGTGTATGTGAACCACGAGGGCCGAGGTGTTTTTACCATCTAACATTCTTTGTCATTTATACATCATCATATTTTGTAGAATTAGCATCCTATGAAACTGTTTTTGGTCCATTTTGCACTATATATGATTTAATATATAGGAAGCAAACACAGTCCCATGCCAAATGCCTCATTCTTGTCGTATCTGGATATCAACGTCCCACGGCTGCTTAGCTCTGCCTGTTTTGGTGGCAACAGTGATTTTTGCTGAGGTGAGCTGAAGAGGGATGAAGCTTGCACTTAGTACTATTCACAAAATACTAAAATTTGCTGAGCGTATATGATACACTCTCCTGGGAACTTTTATACAGATTGCTTATTGGGGGAGAACTTGGTCTAAAATATTTTTTTTTTCTTAAGTATTTACCATTTTCAAAAAGATAGGATTAGAAAAATCAATCTGATGTTTTTAAGCTTACAAAAGTAGCTTGCAGTTCATGGTAGTCTAAAAAATTAATGAGATGACCATTGTACATGTTGAATTACCTAGAAACCTTGAATTAACTGGAAATTCAGAAAAGTCATTTCCAAGGTCTTAAATTACAGGACAGTGTCTATGCAGCAATCACTTTTTGAGTTGAGTATCTTACTTCTAAAGCATATAAAACACAGAGGCTCTGTAATTATTTGTCCTCTAGATTATAAACTAAACAGCATATATATATTAACTACCCTCAATATAAATGTCTGCTTTGATCTTTGTACCTCATTTAGTAAAACCAGGTGGTTAAAACGCCCTGAAATCTTTCCCATTAAGTTCAGTAAGTAAGCACCAAGAGGAAAGAGGAACCGAAAAAGGCAAGTGACCAAGGCCATCCCGGTGAGGGCTGGCACAGACTGGCATGCTGCCTCTCTGGCTTCAGAAAATTTCTTCTTGTATTTTCTTTTTAGCATTTTGTATTTTGAAAACTAGTACACACACAAGATTTTTAAAAATTACATAGTACATCCTTCTTGCCCTTCTCTGTTCCTTTCCCATCCTTCTGCACAGCTAACCGCTGCACCAGGTTTGGGGGACCTGCTGGAAATCGCGGAGTGCTTGTGTCACTGTGTGGATGTGGCGTGCTCCGGGCAGCACGGTTCTGTGCCCTTTTTATCTTCCCCACGGCTCAAGCACCGTGGGGAGTGCTCCCTGCCAGGGAACACTGTGCTCTCCTGAGGGACACAGCTGACCTGACCACAGCTATCTGGACAGAGAGCGAATCCACACGGCTGGCCACCTGCATTTGCCATGACCTGACGGTCTAACTGCTCATCTAATGGAAACGATTTCCCATCCTTTCTACATCACCCCTCTCCCCAAGTTTTAGATCCAAAGGGACAGTTTCTCTAGCATTTTCTACAGCAGACAGTGAGGAACAAGCTATGCTTGGGTTTAGTTTTCTTGGCCTAACTCTAAACAGCTTCTCATCTAACAGCCTGGGTGCCCAA